AACAACCCAACTAGCAATTTGATATTTTATAAAAGCTGCAAAAACATTTTCGAGACAAATTTTATAAAACAGCATAAGTCTCAAAAACATTGTAAGAATGTTTATACAGCAACTATACAACCAAAATGGGCACAGTATTATAAAGCACTTTAGTCACCGTTGAGGTTTTGTAAGGCCTGTTGGAAACAATTAAAAAGTAGTCATATAAACGTTTATACAGGTCTTATAAAAATATGCCAATACTTTAATAAAATAGTTTCTTAAAGGTTTTATAACTGGGTCATAAGGCAGATTATATTGTGAGTTATATAATAGCAACAAATCATCTAAACAACAATTTTATAAGGGATCTATTTTGGGATCTTTAGTAGCAATAATACGACATTTTTGTAGCATTAGATCTATCAACAAAAGTAAATTATTTATTAACTGTATCGTGAAGGTATCAGAAGATATACACTTAACAAAATCTCTATTTAATCACAATGTCTGCAACCGGAATGTTATGTGGTGTAATAAGTACCTACTCAATATTATTTTACGCGTTTTAGTGCACTTTGGAAAAACAATTTTTACTGCGGAGAAAATTTTATTGTGATTTGTATGGTATATATCTAGTGAATTTTACATGCGTCGCGTATTAAGTGATTATTTCCAATATTATCATAATTAAAAATAAAAAGGTTTTTTGAAATGTCATGGTTTTTGACGTTGAATCTAGCACAAAAAGCATTAGAATCATCTTAACTGTTCATCATTGCTTTTGTAGTGCTATTTAATATTAGGAACACGGCTAAATTTGTGATATTTTTATAGTTATACGCCACAATATTTTTCAGCATTGTGTCAAAATGGCTGCGGCTTATAAAATAATTTGGTTGTAAGAACCAGTTTTAAATGACAAGTAAGCTAATTGAGCGATTTCTATAAAACAATGAAAGTTAACTAAAAATAAAAAATTTTAGTGCCGAATGTGGGATATTAAAAGAAACAGCACATGATCTCAGTTTGTTTCGAAAATCTACGTTCTTGTCCAAATTCGATAATTCCAAAAGTTCATCTCCGGGATAATCATCTAGTTCCACCAACCATTTATTTCTTACTTCTTCGCCATCACTTGGGTATTGTATTATTTCTAATACGGTAATATTATTAAAAGTGTTTCTTTGATTTTCCACTTCCAATGAAGCATAGTTACTAAGAATAGCACAATTATCATCACTGAATGTTTCTTGAACTGATAGACTACTTGATTCATGCACCTGTGCGCGACGGTCATTGTTCCTGTCCCCAGATAAAATGTTTTGATAACATTTCTTTACTTTTCTTCTAAATGCGCCACTTCTTTTGATTTTTTCCACTGGCTTACACCTGACATGATTAATTTTAAACAACGACTGTGAAAGCTGAAGAAAAATATAAAACAGACTTTTACCGTTCGCTATTGACACAAACAAAACAATGTCCAACCATTTTGTTGTTTCAAATTTGTTTTATAGAATGGTTTGTCGATGTAATTTTGAGTCAAAGTAAACGTTTTTCTCTTGTAACTGTTATATTAGTATTTTTGTTTTACAATTGATAATTTCATTACATAATAACTATATTATAGTGAATAATATAGCTATTTGCTCTTATAAGTGAAATTGTCTCAAAGTATCTTTTAATATAATAGTTTTATAGGTAGACAACCCACATCTAATAAACAATTATATTATTTATTTATAGCGCGGTTCGAAATACTACAGAACATTACTAAAAAATTATTATAAAATACTTTAGTTTCATTAGCTAAAATGTTTTATAAGCTTGTCACAGAAATGTTTATAAAATAGTTATACATTTTCCATATAAACTGTTTTATAATTTATCTGCCAAAACGTTCTTGTGATAAATTTATAAAATATTTCAGTTGCCGACAACAAAATAATGGTACTTGCCACTATAATAAAACAAATTTGCATTTCGAAAGCGATAATAATAATACAATAAAACATAATTGTCGTATAACTTGAAAATTATAAAACTGTTTTGCTGGTTGGGGTGCTAACTACGCATAGCAAATTTGAAATAGAAATGTTCAGGAATTTTGGAATTATTGCAGACAATGTTTAATTTTACAGAAAATTTGACGCCCTGTATCTCGTTAAGGAGGCATTTGCGACCCTATGTTTATTAAAACTTTTTGTCTTAATTTTTTATGTATTATCTACCCTAGAAGTCTGTCAGCGGTTTTTTGAATCACCCTGTATTTTTAAGTTGAAAACATATAGCACACTCCATACTTAGGATTGACCGTTTCCAAGATATTTTGACTTTTAAGCTAAAATTGACAGATGCAGACTGTCAGAAAAAATTAGTTTTCCCGGAAACTTAGTTTTATTTTTTTTGTGCAAATTGGAAATTTGTAGAGGAAGATCTAATTTATCGAATTTGACATGAAAAATTTCCAGTTCTTATACAGGGTGGTCAAATAAAATTATCGAATATCAAATTCAGAAAATGTGGAAAACTCGAAATTTTTAAATGGAAACCCCTAATTTTTTTTAACGTATTCACATTCTACACTAAAATTAAGTGTAACTTTGTTAAAGTTTCCCTATACCTAAATCCAGTGGTTTTCATTTTATTTACAAATAAATATTTCCCTTTTCTTGGACAGGAGCTATATAAATAGGAAATGTTCTGAAATATAACATCCATAGACGAGTATACGAGGGTTGCCTTTTATATTTTGGGAATGGACGATCCTGGTGCTGCCATCTGACAACCAACGTTCCCATTGTAAAGTTGGACTTTTTGTCGGTATACTACTCGGAACGTTTCGACGCACAAGCGCTATTTGTGTTATTTACAGTGACTTAAAAAATTCACATCGGCCAGAAAATGGAATTAATAAACATTCCATGCAATTATTTTTTACAACCTCCGAAGTGGTTTATCTCAACAACAGTGCATCGATAAACTTTTAGTGATAAAGCACCAACAAAAACCATTGACGTATATCGCTGGTATATGGAACTTCATCGTGGCTATGTTTGCTCACTGAGGAAATCCACGAAGGAGAATCGGTTATTGTTCTAGAAAACATTGATGCTGTGCGTGAACTGAAATTGTATCGTCATGTGACTTATCGTGAGATTGAGACATCTTTGGGCATTAGTGGGACCAGAATAATGTATGAATACTTGGCCACCAAAAATTTGTCCATGTTGGTTCCCACATAATTTTACAAACGTTCAAGAAAAGACTTGTGTCAATCGGTTGAAAGAAATGCTCAAGAAATACTATCGTAATGCTTTAAAACATGTCTATCCCATCGTAACAGGTGACGAATCATGGATTTACTCGTGTGAGCCCGAAAGTAAACAACAGTCGACTGTATGGGTCTTCCAAGATAAGCCAAATCCAAAGTTATTTACGCACAAAGCACGTTTAAGCTAATGGTCTCCTTTTTTTTTGAAAAAACTGGACATATGGTTAATTATACCATTAGTGCAATGTAGGAGGGTCGATTCGGAATGGTTTGCCAGAAGTCTTCGGAAAAATAATGGAAACTAACTGTCGAAGACACATTCTCCACCATGATAGTGCGAACTCTCACACATTGGCTTAAATAAGAGACTTTTTGAGACCAGAAGACCAGAAGAAAAGGAATTGAGGTGTCATCCATCCTACAACCCTGATTTGGCACCCAATAACTTTTTAATTCCCACACATCAAAAACAAATGACATGGTCAACGTTTTTCGACATCTGTAGAAACGGTTAACGTGTTCAAAAAGCATGTTTTGGATATACTTCAATCGGAATGGAAAAAGTGCTTCGAAAATTTACCATAACTTTTTTATGCTTATGCTCAACTGGTTTCGGAGTTATTTAGAAAAAAACATCATCAGAGTGGTCACTTTAAGTGGCTATAACTTCCTTAGGAAAAATTTTTGGATTCACATTTATATAAATAAAATGTAATTTTTTTCGACATAGAACACACTGTAGAAATATTGCCCCAAATTTCAGGACACCCTGTATAAAAGACAACACTCATAATATTTAAACATATAATTTTTTATAATAAAACATCAAAATAATGAGAAAACACAAAATGTTAAAAATAAGGAATTTGAAATAATAAAATCCTATAGGCTAGCAGAAAAGAACATAGCTGAAAAGTTTGAGGGGGCAATAGAGCAAAGAATAGAGAAAGATATTGAAATACTGAACGGTAATATTGAGGAGATTTGGAACAAATTTAAAGATATAGTTATCGAAACGGCAAAACAAGAGTGTGGAACATGCAAAAAGGATAACAGGAAGAAACAAACGGTATGGTGGACAGAAAAAATTAAAGAACATGTAATGAGGAAAAAAAGGCATGGAGAAATTACCTATCAAAAAGAACAGCAAATACTTATGAGATATATAAACAGGAAAGAAAACGAGTAAAAGATTTGGTATTAGAATCAAAGAAAAAGGCTTGGGAATAATTCGGAAATAAAATGGAGGAAAATAGTAAAAATAATCAAAAACTGTTTTATACAGTGCTTAAATCATTAAGGTCAACAGAAACATATAGTACATTACATGTCAAAAGTAAAAACGGCGACACGTTAACAGATGAAAAAGATATAATGGCACGATGGAGAGAGTACTTTGAGGAATTGCTAAAGGCATCAGAAAATATGGAGACAAATGTACAAAGTGAATTAAGAGTCCTAGAAGAAAATGAAGAAGTAATAACGCTAGAAGAACTAAAAGAGACCATTAAAGATCTGAAGAATGGTAAAGCACCAGGGGAAGATAAAATAACTGTAGAAATGATAAAACACTTAGGAGAAAAGGGTCTGGATATATTACTCAAAATATATAATAAAGCCTGGAGATATGAACAGACACCAAAGGATTGGCAAATTTCATTAATAGTACCAATACATAAAAAGGGAGATATTAAAGAATGTAGTAACTATAGAGGAATAACATTGTTGAGCACAGCTATGAAAATATACGAAAAAATAATTGATAGAAAAATAAAACCAATAATAGAGAAGACATTAGAGGAATCACAAAGTGGATTCAGAAAAGGAAGAAGTACACAAGATCACA